AAAAAAAAAAAAAAAAACAAAGACAAAGACAAAGACAAGGATAAATACCAGCAATGGTTCCGTTTCTGTTTCTATGTGTGTCTCCTCTTTTCAGGTGTATGCGCTTCACCCCACAAAAGAGAGACGCTATCTCTCTCTCGCTCATTCGGCTGTCTAGCTCAGACACCAGCAGCTCACGTACACCTTTGTCTGGCACTGCAACACATATACATATATATATATATATATTTATATTTATTTATTTTTTATCTATTTATATTTTTATTTATGTTTATGTTTATATCTGTATATTTTTGCTTTTGTTTTTATTCAGTTTTTGTTTGTTAGGTGCTTAGGGTTTGGCTTTGTTTGTAATATATGTATTTATATTTATCTATTTTTTATTTTTCTCTATATATGTATATATAAATATGTATATATATATATATATATATATATATATATATATATATATATGTATGTATACAGAGAAAAGGAGACAGATAGAGAACTAGGAGGAGACAGATAGAGTAGGAAGGAGACAGATAGAGAGAAAGGAGACAGATAGAGAGAAAGAGAGAAACAAATACAAAAAAAACAAATAAAGAGACAAAATAAACCCTACAGAGACAAAGTAAACAAAGAAAAGAGACAGAAGAAAGGAGACAAATAAACACAAACAAAGAAAAAACAAAAAAAAAATAAACACAAACTGAGGAGAAACCGCAGCAGAAGCAGGAGACAGAAAAAAAAAAAGGAGACAGAGACAGAGACAGATGAGAGACAAAGAGACATAGTACAAAGGAGACAAATAAGCCCTGCATCTATATCGTCCTCAGCAGCAGGAGCAGCAGCAGCAGCAGCAGCAGCTGCTGCTGCTGCTGCTGCTGCTGCTGCTGCATTCAGTGCCGCACGAGCCCTTATAGGCCTGCGTTCGCCGCCGCCGCAGCCGCCGCCGCCGCCGCCTCCGCAGCAGCAGCCGCAGCAGCAGCAGCAGCAGCAGCAGGAGCAGCAGCAGCAGCAGCAAGGTGTCTCACTGGTGATGGGGGGCGGGGGCACCTCTGCTCTGCCGAGAGAGAGAGGGGGAGGAGACGATCCCGGGGCCATGGGATCGAAGGCGGGGGAGTCGAGGTCATCGCTCTCGTCAGCCCACCTGTT